ATTCCTCTTAAGAATATGCAAAGGCATCACTGACTGAATGAGTGGCTACCAAGTCTTGATTTACTCTATGGCATAGCCCCTTCACCACACCCTAAAATAAGCACTTAGAGAAAAAAGCACAAAGAGGAGGTTCCACTCCCCAGTTTTTGAAGACAGGATCTCAGATGTCTCACTGCATGAGGTGGTTGAATATAAAACTTGTGGAGGGAAACAGTATAAAACAGCCTTGTGGAGGGGAAAGGAAATGGAAGCATGCTTCAGCTACTGCTGCCCCAAAGTTGCTCCTGATAGTTTGCTGCCTCTTGCAAGTGTATGTCAAGTGCTTTCCCATGGACTACATGGACAATTTAGGTATTCAAACTGGATCTGTGAGAGGTGGACTTGAAAAGATGGTGCAAGACCTTATGCTATAAAATCTAAAGCCACCCTCCTGCCCCAAATCTGTTACTCATTTGTAAACATTTATTTGGATGCTTAAGAGATAATCTGTGCTTTGAATCCTGATGCTGCCTATGTAAAAATACACAATGTCTATTTCCAAGTTACTTTTAAATTACCCCTATATGCAATTATTGCCTTGTAGAAAAGAACATTTAGGTCCTTTTCTTCCTTTTAACTAGAATGATGTAACTGAAGATGTGCTAAAAGACAATAAATTAAGAGATATGATAAAAATAGAGTATAAGGTTAGAAGGAGATGTCTTTTGGGACATCTGAAGTTGAAGACAAGCCCAGAATTGTTTCACAGCTTTAATAATGATTTAAAATATATTCTCATGACTGGGAGAGCATCCACTATATGACCAAAATGGTAATTTTTTCCCATTTTCTATTATATGTATATGGTTGAATTAAATGTATTTTATGCCTCTTTATTACTTGAAATTGGTTGGTAAAATTACTTCGATTGTTGTTCCTGGTTTTGAAACCTTATGCAGTTCAAGTTGCTTACCAGTAAATAAACAAAGAAAAAAAACAACAAAATGATAGTATAATGAAAATTGATCTAATACTGTCATTTTTAGTAATCAATAGATAAACCTTTATCCTGTGAGCCAATATGTATGCCACTACAAATCTTGCCTGTATTAGTAACAGTGTTAAGTTCTACATATACATTTCTAGTTTTCTCAAATAAATGTTGTCTTTCCAAACGCAAATGTCTTTGAGATGTGGTGACTTCCTAGATACTGGAAAACTTCAAAGATGTCATCACTAAAAATGTGATTTTTGTTTTCTACTGCATTCACCTCTGACTTACATTAAAGGAAGGAAGGAGAGTGCCAAGATGCCATTGATTAATTTATTTATTCAGACCTTTTATATGGTAAAATGATCTGGCAGACTTTCTTACTGAAATGAGAATACATATTGAGTATACCTGACCTGGACATGTCTTTCTCCCTGGTCAGGTATTGGCCCTTCACTCACTGATCCCAAGATCTGTGTCTGCAATTCAGTCTGAGAGGTATTTTTTCTCACCGAACAGTTGCACTTACTTCAGCAGAAAAACATCTGAACTTCCTCAAAAGTGACCAGAAGGTACCAATGTGTACTTTTTTGTAGCATTTCTTGGCATGTGGTTTTACTGTCCACCTTCTGTATCTGACTGCTGATAATTATGTTAATTTCCTCTGATAAATTATGCCTATAACAATAAACCTGTGGCTCAGTATTAGTTTTCTTACAATTCTTCAATTTTCTTCAATGGGCAATGTTTAGGCACAGGTCAGATTCTTAGCTGGTGCTCTCAGATGGTGTTTGACTCATCCTCCTGTGTTTATTTTTCCATTTTGAATTATGCCTGCTCTAGTTTTGCATACCCTGAGCTTTGGGAGGTTTTGAATGAGATGTGGTGATTTCGGCAAATGTGTTACTACTAGCTGCTTCCAGTGTGAGAAGGACCATAATTTTCCTTCCATTACTTGTATTCCACAGATATATTGATGAAATATTAATTTAGTTATAGCAGAAAATAATAGTCAAAACAAAAGGGGAATAAGACTTTGATGTTACTTAGAGAAGAATCAAAGAACAACCTCTTTCTTTCAATCACTATCATTCTACACCTAGCAATTCATGTTAATTACCTTATATTCTGTAACTCTTATAAAGAAAACAATGGATCCAGAAAATACATAATCCTTTATATGTAAGACATTTATATGTAAAAAGTTTAGAATATTAAATTAAATTAAATTAAATCAATTACATAGAAATTTAAGCAAAAAAAAAATCTGAAAAAGTCACAGGACTGATACTTCCAATTTTTTAATTCCTGGAGAAACAAACAAACAAAAAAAACAATGCACTAGGCAAAAAATAGATATTGCAGTCAATATATTAAAACTGAAACCTGTGGCTTGAGATTTGATTTACTTTCCCTCAAGTCTCAGTTATGTTAAACATAAGCTATTTTATCTGCAAATAATTTAAAAATTATGATGATACAAGGGGTAGCACAAGCGGGTCTCTGAAATACCCATTTATCTAATTTGCAGAGTAAAGACAAGTATACAAAATCCATTAGCAGTATATCGTAATGGCTTATAATTCTTAGCTTTTAACCAAAGATCTATTTCAAAATACACGATTAAAGTATGATAAAGCAATGGGCAAGAATATACAGACACGTCAGTAACTTGTTATAGATGTTGGTATATATACAGCTTCAGAAATCAGTAGGAAAAAACTCTAATTAAGACATCGTTTAGCTTTAGTCCGTAATAACTGGGATACAAACAGCTGCCAGAAAGATACAGTTTTCTAAACCATAGAAACATACAATTTCTGTCTCATTTCTTTCATTCCTGATTGTCAATGGCATGCTATTCTCTTGCCTCTGATGTCAGGAAACAAATAAGAAGTAAAAATAAAAAGAAGAATGAAAACACTAAAACAGTAGAAACTGAAAAATGTCTATGCTAATGTTTAATAAAGTGTGTCCATAAAAAGCAGAGGAACAAATAAAAGCTTTGTTTGCTGTTATGTGAAAATGAGAACTGTAATACTACTTGACTGATGCTGGGTTTTAATTTACACAAAATACACAAATGAAACTGCCTTTGCTCAATACAGCTTAAAATATATTAGTATCTTTACACATGTACTATATTTCCAATGTTCAAAACATTGTATCATGCTGCAGTTGGCAAGGTCCAAGGATAACAAGTAAGCTGAGGTTTCAGGTGAACGGTGACACTTCTGCTGGTTTCATATATCTGTGTATGTGTATATACATGTTGACACTCACCTCTAATAAAGCTTTAGTTATACTAGGTTTAGGGTTTCCTTCTCTATATCTTCATTCATGTCCATGATTAAGATGTTTCTGCCCTACAACTCCTTACAAGCCTCCCATTTTGGTAAAATTACTTCCCTTTCAACTGGCAGAATAGACCCAACAAGGTAGTTAGTTTGGGTTGAATGAACTAGCCTTGTCACTTTAAACTGAGATGCACTAGGGGGTTTCACATGTTCACTGACAGAGCTCACATTTTTACAGTTTTAATGCTCACTCCTGAGCCTCTCATTATGTTTTAAGTTTCAATGTAACACTGTGTGGGCTTTCTTGCTTGCAGACTTCTGTTTTAAACAGATGTGGTTAATATATCAGCCACTGGGTAATTTTTATGTTACTGGAGCTACAGCTCACCCCTTACCTCTCCCTGTCTCTGATATATTGACCCCATGGTCTTGCTGTGACACAAGCATAAGAAAACAGAATGTAAATTCTTTTTCTCCCACACACTCTCATATACTCCCTCTCTGCCTACTTGTAAAGAAAACACCCCAATCCTTCCTGCTCAAATCTTTTCTTGACCTTTTTGTTGCCCAGCAAACTCAGGTCATTTCACCTTTAGCCAATGCCAGGGCCACCCTCTCCTCTACTTACACCTGCAGGTTTCTCCTCAGGCTTATGTTACGCTTACGTTACATCACACTGGGATTTCTGTCCAGTTTGCCTTTCTGGACTTTCTTATGGACACATGCCAAATACTATTGCTCAGGCTGTGTTTCTTATTTGCTGATGTGAACTCTCTGATTTCACTACTTTGCTCAGCTAGCCTCTCTTCTGGCATGGCCTTTTCAGGTCCCTATTGACAATGATAACTGATTTTGGCTTCTTTGAAGCACCTCAGAAACCCTGCACACCCTTATCGTCCCTTGCTGAGGTTCATTCTGATCGTTTCTTCCTTATGCCACCATAACTAGGTTCACTGACATTTGCCTCTGACTTCTGTAACCCAACTGACAGCATTAATTAATACTCATTGCAAAAAGTTCCCACCCTGTACCCATTTATGCATTTTTTGTTCCAATCATACCTACAAGGAATCAAACCTCCTTTTTGTTCCTGTTGCACAACAAACTCTCTTTCTTCCACTAAACTCTCCCTACTTTTCTACCCTTTGACCACAGTTCCTTTTGTCCTCCGAGAGGACCAAACAGGTCATGGATTAGTATGTAAACTATGCCATTATAAAGCAAACAAAGCCCTCTTCTGAGCACTTCTCTGAGGTAGTTCCAAACAAAACTAATTGATCTGGTCTGATTCTCACTTAAAGGGCATTCTTTGGCCATGTTCAAGATGATCCCTGAACTGCAATCCAAAGGAGAGACAGAAAGTCACATAGACATGCCCAAACTACCCCACTCAAGGACCTTGTTCAAGCTACCTAGATCAATACCTGCAGAGTGTAGCACAGCGGTACAAAGCACAGTCTTTGCCAGGGATGGTTTTCACAGGAGGGTTTAAAGCAAGTTGCACATCCAAGGTTTCATTCAATGCATGTGACACACCAAACCGTCTGCTCCTTAACGAAAGTGGGCTCATGAGAGAATTTGTTGAGCTAACGGAGTGCTTTGAATTCCTGTGTCCAATGACATCTGCTGGAGGACTCAAATGCTCCTCATGTAAACTCATACAACCTTTTCCACAGTTAAAACATCCCATTAACCTATTTCAGAACTTCAGGAGTTATGTTAAAATCAGTTACCTTTTCCTGATATTGTCGCCGTGAGGAATCCAGAGACTGAATGAGGGCAGTGGCATGGCCAACAAACATGGCATAACAAGTTGCCCCCACAATCATACTCAACATGGTTATCCAGAGGTCGGACATGCTGACAGGGGCGCGGGCTCCATAACCAATGCACAGCATGTGGCTCATTGCTTTGAAGAGCGCGTATGAGTACTGCTTTCCCCAGGAATCATTCTGCAAGAAAAGAAACAAGTGACTGAGCCAGCAAGTAGACAAAGGGAAGAACACATTCGTACCTGTATAGTGGATTCATATATTACTGGCTCTGAAAGACCTGTCTGGTGATATAGCCTCTGTGCATGAGAAGAGATATTCCTTCTAAATTAATTGTTAGATAAAGCATCAGAGATTTTGCCAGATGTGATGTTTGATGAAATAAAATTGACTATTCTTAATACATGATTGTATTCTTAAATGTGGGTGTTAACCTAATTACAAGGAGACTAAAGGTCAATTCTATTTTACATTCCATGGCAAATGGATTAGAAAAAGATGAGCATGCAGACTTATCAAGTGCAAGAAGGTTTTGTTTTAATATGCATGAACATACTCCTATAGCCCCATTTCTTTCTTTTCAGAGTTGTCTGTTTTAATAAACAAGCACATTTCATATTATCAGCTGTTTCTTTTACTTCCCAAGGACAGAATAAAAAAAAAGTTGTTGTATGTCTACTTATCCTGGTTTTTATTGTAATATTGTATTTATACCTGCAGTTTCACAGACTGAAATACAGCTCAAAAGAAAAGGTGAATAGCTGGGTCCTGAATTTCTGATGTGTAACTACCCTTTCCCATTCTCTCTGGGAGATTAGAAGGACTGACAGCTCACTCACAAGCTTTCTGAATTGCAAAGGTGGTGTCAGCATCCTCCCTTTAGCTTTACATAGAGACAGTCAAAGAGGCTGTTCCCAGAGAAAAGCAGACAAAAAGCCCTGGGAATCCATGTCAGATTTTTTCTATTGTACTTGCCAAAGGAATGAAATAAGAAAACAAGTTGTGCTTGGAGGCATACAACATGCAGGGGAAAACTGGGTATTTGCCACAAAGAACTGAGAATAATTTCAGAAATTAAGAAGTAAAGAAGGAAGAACTGAGATCATGTTAGTAAAATTAGGCTGTTATCCACTATAGTGTCTATCATACGGGACCAAAAATAACAATTCTGTTAACATAGACAAATTTCCAGATCAGCAGCAGCATTTATATATAAAATTTACTCATCAGTATTTCTGTCTCTCTTCCACCAATAAAAGCTTTTCTCAAATGCTTTTTTTTCTCAAAAAGCTTCAGGTTTGCTCTCTTGCCATTTAAATGCCAGTTACTAACTACTCTTGTGCTTTTCATCTATTAAAATGTTTTTTCTAGATCCCCTATTAGCTAAAATAACTGGTAGCAGGAAACAAGCTAACACTTCCTGCATTGCAGATGACAAAGTTACTATTTTTCACTAATACAATGATTTAAAACATACTGGTTCTGCTGTATTTAAGCTTGTTTCACTTTCTAAGTGAAAACTTCGTATTTGTGAACTGTTTCTGTCTTCACAAGGGAAAACTTTGTGTTGTAAAAAGGGAATTATCTTAGGCTGCTGGGAATCAGGTGGGTTTCATTAAGTAATGAGGAAATCAGTTTCTTTTTGTTCTGGGGCTTTAAAAAGTACTCAAAAAATGAAAGAACTGAAGAAGCTTGCCTGAAAAATCTCCAGTTCAGGATTCAAATACTCGGCTGGAACACAGAAACTCCTTGCCATCTGGGTCAGTGCAGCTGTGTTAATGCAAGTTCCCTGTCTCCCAGGAAAACAACTTACAGAAACCAAAGCAGAGTCTATTTTGAAGGGCTTGCCTTCCAGCTGTCATGAATCTTCTTTGGGTGGAAATAATTAATAAGGGAATTGTTAAAAGATCCATACAGAATTTCATAAAGTTGCAGCTTTATTCAGATGATTATTAGAGAAAACAATAAACTGCTTGCTGGGAAAAATAAGTTTTTTAAGTCTACAAGTAGAATTATTAAAGCTACAGTATTCAAGATGCTGTAAGATCAAAAGCTCAGCTCTTGCAGGGTTCCATACAGTGGACCTTGCTCCTCAGCTTTATTTTTAGCATAACAATTATAAATACTAAATAAAAATAAAAGGTGATCTTGCCCATGAATTGATTCTATCATATTGCTGGTGTGATAAATCACAACTAAAAATCTTTCAGTAAAATTAATTTTTTACATTAAAGTCCTCAAGTTAATCCATACACTGGTTAATTTTATTTCTTGACTGAAACCCTTTCAAAGACTGAATTACTGTATTACGTAAAATACCATTTTCTTTAAGAAAGGATAAGGAAGTAAGAAGAAGCAAAAAGAAACAAAAAATAAGGAGACCTTTCTACTAAGTATGTGACAAGATGAATGAAAAATAAATGCTATTTGAGAAGCAGTAATGGCGAAGGAATAAATGAGCTGTAATGACAGAAGAAAAATAACTAAACATGTACAATAAAATAAAGAAGTAAATGTTTAACCACATATGTACCTCTACATACAAGTCAGAGGAGGATCCAACATCTCAAATAGTCATGACTGCATCTGAATCTAGACTGGAGTTCAAGGCCACCTCAAATGGAGATTCTGCTATGCAAGTGATATTAGATATTATGGTATAGCTTGTGATAGACCTTGTTACAGGTTATGCATATTTCAAACATTTGTGAATGGATGGTTCTGAGCAGCTGATTCTCAGATGGGTACTAAGGGTTTAGTAAAAGGAGCAAAAGACCTGATATAAAAGCCTGAAAACATTTGAATTCAGCTTGGATTTGTCTGAGGATTTTGTTGCTAAAAATATTTACTATTTTTCTGTTTCTTTTCCTTACTCACCAAACAGTTCTTGTACAATTAGTTACAAACATTGGTCTCTTTAGTTTTTATAGGGATATTTTCCTTTTTTTTTTCCAAAATGATGCTGAAGAAATACCACTGTAGAGGGTAGGAATTTTGGTGTAGTTACTTGTGTTGTTCTTGTATGACTTATTCCTACATAAACCACATAAAAAGAACATTGGTTCTAATACCAAATCCTATAAATCATATATGCTCCTACCAACGTTACTATATGAAATAATAATAATTATCATTATTTAATTATTTTTCTGCTTCTGCTGTATAACCTAAGGGTTTAGCAGGAGCAACTCTAATTTTGTTTTAGTGTGAGAGGATGGAATTTTCCAAAACTCCAGTCCAATGTGCTGCTGTTCGCTGTTAAAAAAGTGAGGAGTGCCCATTCATTTGCTACGAGCGTAGAGAGGTTATTTTTTCTAAATAAGAAGCATTTTTGACCCTGCATTCTGAGAAAATTTTTACATAGCACATTATCAGATAATATCCCTGATTTAATAAAGGTCTATTCTATGAAATAAAGAATCTTAGTAAGCTTTTAATATAATCTTATATTTTAATAATTATATATACATGCTAAATGTTTCCCTAAATGATCTATTTTTCATTTTGATATATAGATTTAAAAACCTCTATGAACTAAAAATACCTCCTACCAATCAGCAAAACAGGCATTTATCAGTTGACCCCGGGTTGATCACTGTTTCCATATTAGCAGCAGTAATTTTTAAAAGTTTTAAATGAAATTACATTAATTCAGAAAAACTAGTAAGACTGTAATTGTGAGAAATACCAAAGCTGTTTTTCCAAGGACTGATTACTTAATCTATCTTGATGACACTAGGAAATCCTACACTTGTGAAAGCAATAATCACTGATCATTTACAATTAGTTCTCTAAATACATACATTAACTTAGCAGTTATCCTGAAGAATACATTAATCGCAGGGCACTTCTGATTATTACAACTTTGTTTCCAAGCCTCTTCTTTCATCACAGGATGCTACCCTTTGTCTCAGACTACCACACAAACCTGCTACAAATTTCTTTTTGTAATACTAGCTTCTCAGCTCATAAGAAATAAATCACAGAAAGGTCACCCAGCACCCTCTAAGGGACAATAATAAAAGGCAAATTATTTTTCTCAGTGGATGAAAAAAGGGTTTCTGTTTTACTGGAACCTATGAAAGTTTCCACCAGGAGATTTTGTTGTCATCAGACCAATCAATTCCACTTCCATATTGTAGTAATTCCCTCAGGCACAGCTTATCTTCTCTCAGCCATACCCTTACAGTGAGATACAAACTGATTTAGAAATCACTAACAATCAGACTATTGCACAGACAGTAGTTGGTTTCCACATTTTTTACTCAGTTCATTTTTCCTTTCACACTACAGTCACTGCATGTGTCATGGAAATGCTACTCTCAGTTTGCAAGGGCATGCTTTACAATCATGAAGCAAAGATTAACTTGGAATTAAAGGAAATAGGCTTTTTGAACTCACCTTCCTGATTCGTCCTTTCAAAACTACAGTAGGAGTGGTGAAGTAGCCTGTCCCTACACTGAAGAGCTTGCCTTGTAATCAATCACACCTCCATTCATGCCCACTGTTTCCTTTCAGTTCTTCTGAAAGTAAGTGATGTCTGAAGGAGGGAAGATGGATACCAAACTTGACAGGACATACATGGTTTGTGTCTATCCTGGTAATTTTAAAAGTATCAAAAAAGCATTACCAAGCAGTAGAATGTGGTTCACATGGTCATAACTGTTAGAAACACCCCCGGTGTGGCACTGGCTACATAGCGCTATCCTAAGCATTAGGAGCTGGCCTACTTTGGAGCTGTTGTGGGTGAGGAACCATTCCTTCTAGGAACCTGGCATGTGCTTGTCCTGTGCCAAAACCCAAACAGGATTTATAGTATGGACATAGTAGGTAGCTCCTTTCCCAGTCTACCCCAATGCCCATTAAAAGTGGGCAGTTCTAATTTGTGAGCTTGGAGGCATCTAGACAGTCCATAAGTAAGCCCTCCGGTTTTAGTATTGTCATAGAAAGCTACTGCACAAAACAAATGTAAATTTTGGGGTTGGGCTTTAAAGGTCAAAAAAAAGCACAAAGCGTCCTTGCTCACACATAGTACATACTGTAATGCAGTAGTAGCCCACAAAAAACACCTGCTCTAAAAAATTACAGTATCTTCCAGTGGGAAATCAATTAAACTGTATTTGTTTCTTAGATGGATATAATCTGTTATTTGTAAATACTTATTTGCAATACATTATTTC